AAGGAGTGCTTCATTTTTTTTTTCTGTCCCTGTCATTTTAATCGGATTGGGCCCCAAATTGACAGTATTTTATTCATTAATTTTTTTCTGCCTGTTTTTTTTAATTGTGAAAATACTGTACAGAGGAGTTACAATGACATGGGCAAGGTAATGAGTACATTTCTTATCAAGCATTGTTGCCTCCTCCTTTGTTTCCCCTTCTATCCCTTCCCATCCTCCATCCCCCCTCCCGCCAAAGTTGTCAGTTCTGAAGACCTAGGAACTGGGAAAGTCAGTAATTTTCAAGTCCAAAATGCAGCAAACCTGAGACTCAAAAAGCCAAAGTCCTGGCTCAAAGGTAGTGAGGAAATTCTCCTTCCTGGGCAGCCTTTCCAGTGTCTTTAGGCCTTCATCTGACTAGGGTGTGCCGTCGGCATTAAGCAGTCTACCAATTCAAATGCTAATTCCATGCAAAAATACTTTCATAGAAATTACTAGAATATCCTTGTTTGATCCACATATTTGGGCAACGTGTGTTCTAGGGAAATTGACATCAAATTAACCTTCATAGTAAGAAACCTTGTAAGAAGACACGATTTCAAACCTTTGTCCTGAAGGAAGACTTCCCCAATATATAATTACAGACCTAAGTCATACAAAATTAAGATGATTGAATAATGCTGTTCTTTGTCCTCTGCCATTGGGACAGAGCTCATCACTCTGCTCACGGGGTAGTCTACATCTGCCCTTGTTCCATGTTTTAGGAGGCATCTAACAATGACAATATACAAGTGCGCTTTTCTTTCAGTCAGTTGGCCGCGCTGTCCTCAGACTGGCACACTGCGGTAGAACAAAAGCTGTCCAATGTCGACATTTGTCCCTATTAGAATTCTGCCCACCCCCCACACCATGAAATCCCACATAGGCCTTAAAATTGTAATAGAAGACTTAAACAGAAACTCTCTTTTTCCTAGGCTATTCTGTTGATTTGAAACCTTTTGTTCTTATCGCTTCAGTAGAAGAAACTTTTTTTTTCTTCTGTACAACAGAATTGCAAATAGAATTTAGTGTAAAGGAAAGAGACTGTTTGGGGCCTGGGTGCAGAGTGAGGTAAATGACCTGGTCATTCTCATTCACTGTCCTATTTTGCCCAATATGTGCCTCAGTGCCTGTAGCCAGTACCATGACAGGGTATAAGGACCAAAGTTTAAGCTCTATTTTTCTCTATTTTTTGCCTTTATTGTATGTATTATATTTAAAACATTCAAAGCAGGTATGTTATTTTTCCTTCTGAGACTCATTCTATGTTCAGTTATTTCCCCTCAGTCTTCATAGCTTGACTTTGTTTTATTTCATTCACCCTTCTTGCTCAATGCCAAGTGTTTCAAACATGTAACGTGAATAACGCTGTACAAAGTTCAGAGAAACTGCTATTTCTACTGAAAAGGCACAGTTCATTTTTGAAATATTTAAACAAGGTAGGGCATACAGAAGGCACTTCCTAAGGTGATTTCCAGGGATCTGTATAACTATTTTGTCAAGTATCAAGAATGTCAGACTTGGTAGTTGAAATGCCAAGTTCTGTAGGACACTGGAGAGTTCTCGAGTAAACCTTGGCCATCAATCTGTCTCCTTTGGAGATTTGGTTCTTTGGCTTTACGTTTTTGTAGGGAGCAAAGGGAAATAGGACAGATGGCTGTCAATGATGAAAAGTGAAAAAGCCTCAGCTTGTTTATGTTTTCCTATTTGGTATTTTCTTCTCAACTCCTCTTGTCCACCTGTTGGACTAGTGGAGGCACTGACAGGTTAGAAGATTTATTTCAGTGATGGCGGTGCTGGTGAGGTGAGCACAGTAGACCGATGAGGTTGTCTTCAGTTAGCAGGGTGGTGAGTTTTCCGGGGAGAATGGCAGAATGGTTTTGTTATTGGTATTATAAGCTCATTTTTGAAAGTGGAAGCTCTTGTTAGTACAAATAAGTAAAAATATATGCCTGTCAGTTTAAAAAAATTTCACCCATGCTCTTTGTCATTTAGACAAAGGGCTTAGTAAACATCCAGATTTTATTTTTTGTCAGTCAACGGGCTTGAACTCCGGGCTTGGGTGCTGTCCCTGTGCTCTTCCACTCAAGGCAAGCACTCTACTGCTTGAGCCACAGTTCCATTTCCAGTTTTCTACTGATTTATTGGAGATAAGAGTCTCAAGGACTTTCCTGCCTTAGGCTGGCTTTGAACCATGATCCTCAGATCATGGTTCCTGAGTAGCTAGCATTACAGGCAGAAGCCACCGGCACCTGGCTTAGATTTTTAATAAAATATGAACACAAGTCTGCCATGTATATCCAGAGCACAGGACCTTTGTAATACCGCATACCCTGATACACCTGAGCATATTTAAATAATGTCAGTGGCCATGAACCTCTAAAATAACAAGAAACCCCATGCTACAGTGAATCTAGTTTACATTCAGTTTTTAGAGCACATGAAAGTTTATAAATATAGTACTTCAGGTCAACAGCCCAGGTTCTAAACCCCATTCATCCAACATTTGTTCATTAAGTACATCATATTCTTTGTTTTATTGCTATTTGTTTTGTATTTATGCTTTTTTGTTTGTTTTGGGGTTTTTTTTTTCTGGTTTTAGGGCTTGAACTCAGCCTGGGCCCTGTCCCCGAGCTTCTTTTGCTCAAGACTAGCATTCTACCAATTGAAACACCGCTTTTTCTGTGGTTAATTGGAGATAAGTGTCTGGTGGATTTTCCTGCCAGGGCTGGCTTTAAACTGTGCTCCTCAGATCTCAGCCTCCTGAGTAGCTAGGATTAAAGGCATGTGTCACCGGTGCTCAAATTATGTTTTCTTTACAGTGCAGAATTACGTGATCTAAGGCCAAAATAGATATGGATTCTACAGGACAGGAGTCTAAGGCTCTGTGCTATGCTAGTGACTCTGAGGCTCCCTAACATTGTTGCCATCTGTAAAATGAAAGATTTGGGGTGTACTCTGAGTCCTCTTTCTACTGTAACATTCCTTGTGGTTATAGTTATTGCCTGCCTGCCTCCCTCCCTCCCCTCCCTTCCCTCCCTCCCCTCCCTCCCCTCCCTCTCTCCCTCCCTTCCTCCCTTCCTTCCTTCCTTCCTTCCTTCCTTCCTTCCTTCTTTACTTCCTTCTTTCCATCTGAATGACTGGCCTAGACTTCCTGATAGAAACGTTTACTGAATTTGGTACAGTCAATTTTTTCTCTCCTTATCTATTTTTAATGTATTGAATGTAATTTTTCAGTGTTTGCAGTGACTCACTCTGCCTCATTTTGCTTTACTTTTACGTTCTGATTTCCTTTCCCAGTTTTTCCCCATTGGAGCTTCTGAATGCATGTGACCGTAGGCTGCTTGGTTCTCTCGCTCAGTCCATGTCCCTTTTCAGTGCCATCTCTTACAGCAGTTTCATCTGTGTGTTTCTCTGTATAAATTATGGCATATTGGAGACATGTGATGCATTCTTAGCAGTGATCTATGGATACTTCACAGTTTATGTCAAGTCACTTTCCACTGGGCGTTAAATGTATCTGGCCACATTTTGCAACATTTCTCTTAGGCAAGGCAATTTATACCAGCTTATGTATACCCTGGGAAGTCCTCTCTGTGACCTGCCCTCTCTTTCTGCCAACCTCCTTTTGATGTTTCTAACAAGGATTTAAAGACAATGTAAATTCCAAACCAATGGTGCATCTATTAGGATTAAAAATATCACTTAAAGACTGATTCTATTACAACCACATGGGGAAACAAAGCCTTGAACCTTCCCTACCACACTTGCTAGCCCTCTCAGCTTTCTCCTGAATCCAGTGGCTCCCCTCTGCTTAGACAGCTTAAGATTTAGGCATTGTTTTGTCATTGGTTTGAATATTTTCCATTTAAGCAGAGGACTTGACTTGCTTCTTCTTCAATATTCCTTCCTCCTGCTCTTTGGTCATGAGTCTGCTGTATTCTATTTTCTTCTGATTATGTACTTCCCCCATGAATGATATGTCATGAAAGGTAACCTGCAGGGAAGTCGAAAAATGAGATTCGTGTTTACGAAGATTAGAAGAACTTCAAAAGAAAGGCACAGCAGTATTAAAGGGCATAGCTATTGAAACAAAACAGACTCAGATAAGAATATCAGACAGCAAGTCACATTTTTGTATAATAGCCATTATTCTTGAGCTTAACATGCTGTTAAAAAATCTACACCTCTGAATTTATTAGCTTGGTATTTAACATGTTTCATGGCCAAAATAGCAAATTTAACTAAGCATTAGTACTGGTTAAATTAGCCTCATGAAAACGTTGTTGGTAAAAGGTTACAGAGATGAATATTGGACCATCTATCACTATGATTTAAAAAGGTATTTGAATTGTCTGAATTAACTTGGCTAAAGGATAGAAGTTTGGAGAAAAGGTGATCATTAAAACCTAAATGGTATGATCAGTTCTTCCTTTTGATAAAGAGGAGACAACAGTTATGCAAAGGGTATTTATGTGTGCTCTGGGATAAACTAGTGCCAAGAAAACCATACCTGAAAATACCTCTATTTACTATTTGAGCTGCAAAAAAACCCCACAGGTATATTATATATATAGCTGTGCACTGGGTGTCTTCTTTCAATATAGGCAAAAGACCCTTCTTATGTTCTCTGATTTGGAAAACTGAATCTAGAACTTACCTATCTTTATAGTGAGGCATTTGTATTCGCTTTTTTAATGTAATGTTTCTCTACATATTAAGGATAGTAAGTCTGCCATCTTTGTGATCATTTCATCAGGAAATTTAACCATTTCTCCCCTTTCCCTTAAAGTGTTTAATATTTCTGAATTGCTATTTTGCCTCTGTGTTAAAATGATTTTTTTAATCTTTCAAGCTAGGATACTTCAACACTTTGCTGTGGAATTTCTTTAAACAATCCTCATTGGCTTGGTAACTGAACTAAAAGTTCCATGTCTATAGATGTAGGACAAAGACTTTCTCCTCTCTTGTAATCTTTACAGAAATCAAGAGATAAAAGAACTTGGCGAACTTTCTCCACACTGGGACAATCTACGGAAAAATGTCCTTACTCACTGTGACCAGATGGTGAATTTATACCAAGACATTCTGACGGAACTGAGCAAGGAGGCAGGTAGGAAACAGTAATTTCACTAAAGCAGATGAACGAAATTGTTTCTTCTCTCATGCCTGGTGAAGCCATTGCACTACGCAACGGAGATGAGACAGCCAAAGATTTTTTAAAAAATTAGTAAGTTCCTACTCTATTTTGCTGATAGTTAAACTAAGAGAGAGAAAAAGCTGTTGTTCTACATCAGAGTCTTGTGAGAATAATTGGAATATTTTTCTAAATTGAAATTCTGAGAGGACATCTCAAACACAGAATATATTTCTCTTTCTGAAGTTCTTTATAACATTTCTCTACCAAAGGTGTCTCTCCACATGACAAGCCTTCTTGTTTAATTATTGACTAATAATCAAACTTTTTTTTTCTTCTAGGGTCCTCTTTCAAATCAAGCAGCAGCAAAGGAGAGAAAACATTAGAATTTGTTCCAGTAAATCTACATCTACAAAGAATGCATGTACATAGTCCTCACTTGAAAGGTATGAGATATTACTCACTTTGGATTTCCCTGGTACATTGCATTGTGCACTTTCTAAACAGATGTAACTCTTGGCAGATCTCAAAAGGTAAAGAGTTGTGTAGGGACAGAGATGACACCCGAGAGCTGGTGATGAGGAACCAGCCATGGTGCCTCCATTGCTGCTTCTCTGGGGAATACTTCGTGGGCTGAATTGATAGAAACTGATATTTCATTGCACATTCACGTATTTGGGAATGATTCCTAACATACGTCCACAATGCAGAATCCTTTACTTCATGTTTCTCTCTTGGGCTGTTTTCCCAGATGTTTTCCGAAAAGTGTCTAGAATAAGTAGGATGAAAACAAAGTGTTCAGCTTCTGACTTATTTGAAAAGGGAAAGTGGGAACTAAAATAAAGATCTTTAGAAATGCAAAAAAAAAAGTTCACCCTACCTAATTTGTTTTGGAATGTGTATCAGTTTTTTATGGCTACTGTAACAAGGCCCCACACTCAGGCACTTAAATCACCAAGATATATTCACAATTCTGGACAATTGATACCTTTAAGTCAAAGGTCAGCAAGGCCACATTCACTCTGGAGCATCGGTGGAAATCCTCAACTTCTATGGCTTTCTGGTGGCTGTTGTCAATTCTTGGCTTTGCTGACCTTGATGATGAATCTCCCCTGCCCTCTAGCTTTACCAAGGATGCTTCTGTGTCTTCCTCCATCTTCTTCTGTGTGTTCATCTAAGTTTCTCCTTCAAGAAAACTGGTCAGATAGAATTAGCAACCACATTAACAATGACTTGATTTCACTTTGATTGCATCTATGAAGAACCCCTTTCTAAAAGCAGCTCCATTTTAGATATCTTTTTAAAGGACACAGAAAACTGATAGCAAATATCAAACAATACTGAGAAAAGCAGGAGTTTATTATCATAAATCTAGGAGACAACCCATAAATGAGAGGATTTTTGAGAAAGTTGTTAACAGAAAGATAATTGTTCTCTTCAAAACAATATCCCATATTCTCTCCCAATGGCCTAGATATCCTAAGAGCCAACTCAGTGGTTAAAGTACTGAATTATACACCGATTTCTTTCTAAAATGATTTACATATTAAATATATGCATGTTTATAATATAATATATATTCATGTTTGTAACATGAATACCCATATGCATATTATATATAATATTATATATATACCTATTATATACAAAATATTAAATCATCAAGCTTATTTGTATAATTAAGTTTAAATATTATTTTGAAAATCAAGCTCACATTATATATGTGTGTATATATGTATATATATATATATATGTTCTTATTACATCTAGTAATAATGATTGAAAATTGCTACCAAATCTGAAGGTCCTTTTGCTAATTTCTTAGGCTATGACCAAGTTGTTTGATATATTTGAACATCAGTTTTCTTATTTTTTTTTTTTTTTTTTTTTTTTTGCCAGTCATGGTGCCTGAACTCTGGGCCTGGGCACTGTCCCTCAGCTCTTCAGCTCAAGGCTAGTGCTCTACCACTTGAGCCACAGCACCACTTCCAGCTTTTTCTGCTTATGTGGTGCTGAGGAATCGAACCCAGGGCCTCATGAATGCAAGGCAAGCACTCTACCACTGAGCCACCTTCCCAGCCCTAGTTTTCTTATTTATAAATAAAAATATTGGAAATTGAAATAGGTGGTAGTGACCCAAATTTTAACTTTTCTACTTACTTATATAACATATGGAGTGGATTTTGAATTGGAGATAAACATATTTGAGATTCATGGATACTGACTGTTGTGAATGTTCAGTGTTTTGCAAGGTGATGAGGCATTTTGGGTTGGCTAAGCCTTGGCATTTCACTGGTGAGTTACTTGGATATAGTCTCCCACTTCTGTTCATCCTTACCATGAGTAAATCATGCCTATCTATGTTTGATTAATAATCCTGCTGTACCTGAAGAGTCAGCAACCCAAGTAGCAGTAGGCAAATTCTCTGGGCACAAGGCTAATGTCTAGCTTTAGAAACAAGCCACTGAGCAGAACTAATATTGCGATGTCTCATCCTGACAAGCAAAGTAACCTGCAGTTAACTTTGGATGCCCCCACACCATTAAGCTAATTTTTCATCCCTATTCATTACTTAAATTAATTGCAACAAATAGAACATGCACCACAACACAATTCCTGCACAGCCATGGTGACGCCAACAAGAACAAAAGCCCCAGATGACAAGGTGAAGATGTTTCTCCGATGTCCTTCAATAGGTTTTCCTTGCTTATGACTTCATTGTGCCTGTTGGCAAATACAGCTCCCAAGAATACTTCACTATTCGGTTTTAATTCTTTTATATGTTTTAGGTACATTTCATTTAATGTACTTTTAAAATACAATTAATTTATATTAACACAATTTTTTCTGAGAAGTCATACATTAATATTGGCTTATGGCTAGTAATAGTTTAGTTTAGCAAAATACTCTTAATAGACCTGCTGTTACTTATAAAATTAAAACTTTTATGAAATTCTCTTTAATAAAGGACTAGCAGTAAATATCAGTGCTCTATAAATGCCTGTAATTTTACATCGTGAATCTGTAGCCTATTGGACAATCACAATGCCTAACATACATGGTATATGCAAGAGAGAGGGAAAGAAAGAGAGAGAGACAGACAGACAGATAGACACTCTGGTGAATGCTTGTCTCCAGATGAGTCTATTGAGTTTCATGCAGGTTAGTTGGAAGGATTCAAAGATGATCTTTGCTCTTGAGTTTAACTCTCACTGCATTCTTAAGGAATCAAACACTGGCCATCTTTTCCATAGAAAGGAAAATCAGATGCAATGAAAAGCAATACACAGAAAGAGAGGAGAGATGGACAGCTGGGAGGAAGGGCAGTGATCAAAGGTGTCTCATGACTGTTCACTTACTAGTTTGTTTGTTTTTCTTTCACAAGGTGAGCGCCTGTTGGAATGAAGCACAGTTCCTAAGCACTAGCACAGCCACATATACATCATTGTTCCTTTCATTTGTTTCTTTGTTGTTGTGTCAAGAGCCTTAACTGGTATACAATGACACTATCGTAGTTACAGTTGGAATCATGTTCAACACCAGACAGTTACTGTGTAACTGTGGGTGGTGCCTAGTCTCCACCTCTTCATCTTCCAATCTCTACACTAAGGGCCTCCTAGAGGGCCCTGAATTCTGTATCTTAGGAGTTTGGGTCTACCAGTGAAGCATAGTTACCTTCAGATTAGTTCAAGGATGATGCTAAATTGCTTGTTCTATTTTGAAGCAGGATTCCCTTAAGTCCTTAAAGCCGTATGATACCTGTCAAAGGACTTGCGCATTTCATTTAAGTCAGGGATTATTTTTAACTTGGTCCTAGAGATGAGCACTATTTTATAGTTGGAAGAATTTTAACCAGACCTTCTGGAAAAAATTGGTATCTCATTTCTATTATTAGATGACTTTTAAAAGGCCACAAAGGAATTCTATTGTGTAATCTCAAATCAACCTGGTCTCTTTAGCTTTTTGAGGTGCATTGACTTAAATTCCACCTCTCTATGCATAAAATGCCATGCCACCATCACAAAGACACAGGCGTTTTAGAAATACTATAAAATGTCAGTGAAGCAAGATCTGCAGGCTTTCATTGTTATCTTAGGAAAACAAAGGGCCTTGCAGGGTTTTTTTTCTTAAGTCTTCTGTAAAATCTCCCACTGTGATTTTTATTGTTGTTTCTTTGGTATCACAGAGTAGAGCCACAGCTCCACTTCTGGCTTTTCCTTAGTAGTTTCTGCCCGGGATAGCTTGAAACCACAGATCCTCAGATCTCAGCCTCCAGAGTAGCTAGGAGTATAGTCGTAAACCACCAGCACCTGATGCTTTTTGTTTTCTCATTGACTTTTATTTATCCAGTGTTTTCTACAGAAAAACAATCCATTTGCAGGTAATTTTAATTTTAAAGGAGGACAGCTTGTTCAACTAAGAAATAAGGTGGGATACTATGAAGTAAAGGTATCTTCTATTTTTCAGAAACTAGACCAGGAAACAAACTACCTACATAGATCAATCTACTATTTTTTCTAGTAGTTGAAAGTGAAATGCAAGGCCAAAGAGAAACTTAATTATTCTAGCCTGGAGATATCAATAATTGACATTCTCAAATGGCAACTGCACAATATTATGACTCTAAAATAATGAACATGATTTCAGTAGAAAAGCAGTGGTTTATAAAATTTTTCTGATTGATTTTATAAGTGAGGGGGAGCCTCTCCTTAACTTAAGATTTCACAACTGTATCCAGAATGTTCTTACTTCAGATTGAGACAAAGAACACATACCCATAGCTGAGGATAAAAACCATTTCCTTTGGCTTAAAGTCATGTCGCTTCTGAGAGAGACACGCAGTAGCTACTTTCCACTTGCTTCCTTCAGAACCACTCTGGCTGTCAAAGTAAAAAGTTTTAACCTTCGAAGAAACTTTTTGAATACTTGAAATGTGAAACCCTATTGAAACCCAGACTCCAGAACTGTGGAAAACACATAGAAAGGCCCAAACTCTCTAAAGGTGCCTCAGAGCCAGACGGGCTGAACCTAAAGGTAATACAGAAAAACCAAGGGGGAAAAGTGACAACTCTGCTGCAAAGAGCACAACTTGCCCTGGGGCTTGATCTGGAAGCTCTCCTCCCCAGCGAAGCAGCTTGAAAGGTTTATTGATTTCAGGGTTGGCCAAGGAGAAAGGTAAATGAATGTGAATCATCTTGTGTCTTGAGAAGGTAAAAATGTAGCTAAAAATACGTAAAACTTCAAAATACAAAGGACGTCTGTAAAGAGCATAGGAGCTGCTAGACTTACACATGAAACACAGACTTGGCACCGCTTATTATATTGCAGACATTTTTGTTATTAGTGAGTAGATGCTAAGTAAACACAGTACTAGCCACCAGTGCAACATAGAAGCATAGATAAAAGTATGCTTATATATTGTTTGTGACAGCATATGGGCTTGAATATAGGGTCTCATGAGCTTAGCTTTCTTCCTCATGCCAGGACCATCACTTCTCTGTCTCTGTCTGTCTCTTATCTCTGTCTGTCTCTCCTTCTCTGTATATATATATATATATATATATGTATATATATGAATATATATGCACACACATACACATATACACATATATCTGATGCATTTAAACCACCACCAGAAAGGTAAAGGCAGTAAATATATCTTTCACATCTGCATGTCCACTTGTGCCCTTTGGCCCCTGTAGTTGCCGGCAGAGCCCTGAACGGGAGCTCTCACTTCTGACAATGTTGGAAATGTGCCATGGGAAAGGTACCATGGGTTGCCAGCTTTCTAAAATGTAGCTGAAATTTCATACCCAGTGAATAAGAATTAACGCCTCTGTCCTCCCCACTCTGCCAGGCTCTGTTTCTCTCAGACTATTTCCCAGTACTTAAAGACGCACAGGGAGGGAAGCGTTGTCTCTGTCTGGCTCATTTCTCTTAGCACAGTGTCCTCTAGGCTCAGCTGGGCTGTCAAAAGGGGCGGGACTTCTTTCTTTGGCAGACTGAGTGGGAGCCTTTGGTGCCTTTGGGAGTTGTTGGTATAGCCGGCCACCAGGTGTGGGCAGGGATGCGGTCCACTGGGTTGCGATGACGTGAAGATCTGTCATTATGCAACGAGTGTAAATTAATACAGGAACTGATCTTACTCAGAGGGAGAGGACTGAGCCTCTGTTCTCCTTTAACTCCTGAATATTTTTATGTGGAAATGAAGAAATGTTGAAATATCACTTCCTTTCAATTGGTGGGATTGTTTCTTATAGAGAAAACGCAGACATAGATAATATTTACTAGATGATTCTCACTTCACTCTTGACTTCATTTTTGTAGATGAGTAGGTGGAGACATAGGCAAGTAAAGATTTTTCCCACTGTCACTCTCAACAGAGCAGAGATGGGATCCAACACCGGGGACTCAGGTTGTAGCTGGTCATGTAAGCCCTCCACCAAACATGGGCTGCCACCCCGGGAAGAAGTCAGACAGTTCCTGTATTAAGGCCTTGGAATCACAGACAAAGCAGGCAACTGCTCATAGTTCTCTGGTTTCTCATTAGGCTAGAATTTACTGGTGGTAACTCCAGGTAATCTCATGACTCTTTGAGAAAAGCTACACCTGTCTCCAGAAGCAAAACAGATGCATGGGCACAACTGCTAACATCTGTAGGAATCTTGTGCTTTTATCTTAGTCATAGATGTAATTCCCTGGAGTAGGCAGCACTTCAGTGTCTTAAGTCAGCCATTCCTCTATCTACGCAGGGTCACTTCTATTTGGTTAGAAAGAGAAAGATCCAGTTATCTTTCAGCATATGTCTGTAGTAGGTTGGTTTGGGTTTTATTCTGGTTTTTCTTCTGACCTTAAACCTCTAGAGTGCTATTCATGTCTTTCCATTGAAGAGATTTTTTTAAATTAAGAAAAAAATCAAATTTATTTGGGTTGAACAGTTCTGAAAAAGGTTTGGTGCTTACCCAAGGTTGATAAAATAATTTATGTCTTCTTATTAAATGAAATATGAAAACACCTATGTGTTAATACCAAAATCAATTTGAACAGGATCTAGTATGAAATTAAATTTCTCTAAGAAAACATAGTTTCACCAGAAGGCATTCCTTGCCCTCCTTCTTGTGTAGATACTTTCTATCAGAATGTGGGTAGCATAGTTTGAAGCTATAAACTTAATATGTACCAAACTGGATGGCTTTTTAAGAACAAAGGATTCTATTTGCAATTTATATGTATGGATTGTTTTAATTTTAAATGAACAACAAGGAAGTATCCAGCTAAAATATAGACCAGAAGAACTTTTGTGTAGATTCTTTCCGTGTTATATCAGGTCCTTGCAACACTATGTGTTTACAATTGTGCAAGATTTGGTACACACAGCAGGAAATGAGGGTAGGATTGTTAAAAGGCACTTTTACCATTTTTCCCTTGAGTCACCGTGCATTATTATTTTCATTCTTGTCTCGGTAAAATGTGGTTGAAAGATTGTTCATTATTGTTGAATTTCAATATGATTGCAAATTAAATGATGCAAAACTCAATAAGGTAAAATACACAAAAGACCAATTAGCATGTTATCTCAGTAAGTATATTGAGGAATGGGGGAACATGCTGTTCTCCACAGTAGCATATAATTAAGATACTGTCATAAATCAGGGAAATATGATAACTCGTTTAGGTGCACAGGTGGCTTGTAAAAAGATTGATTAACGTCCCTTGCCCCCTTGAGATGAGAGTTCATAGTTATTCCTACAGATTTAAGCAGAACCATTGCTCAGATTTCTCCCAGGCTGGGTGCCTGAGTGCACCCTGTGAGCGGGAGACGGATGTTTGCCGGGTGCTCATCTCCTTGTCCATCCCGTTCCAGATGCCGTCTACGATGTTGTCACCGTGGGAGCCCCTGCAGCCCACTTCCAGGGGTTTAAGAATGGTGGTCTTCGAAAACTGCTCCATAGATTTGAGACGGAAAGAAGAAAGTAAGTAAATTCAGGAGGAAAACTTGTTAAGGATGCTGTCTTCGAGCTAGACGCACTACGGACAGGATTAGAATCTTGGTCACTTGGCACATTCATTCCATAATTGAAAGTTGTTGGATTTCTTGAAACTACTCAGAAAAGAAATTTGACTCAACGAACTCCCGAAAGGCGCAGTGAGCCTTGCTGGGCCACTACACGTTGTCCTGAAAACCCCTTTCCCAGGAGGGGAGGGGTTAATCCATTCCACCATGTGGCCACTGCTGTGTTCAGCCACTGCTGGCTGAGGAACAGAGATTTAAGGGGCAACATTATCTAATTTGACTGTGGCAACAAAGACATTTCATGGAAAGCCTGGGTCCCGTTGGATCCACTGTGGTCGGAGGCAGGACAGTTAATGCCTGCCCCATCTTTGGCTGTGCCCCTTGAAAAGGAGAAATCTACCATTGAAGTCATGATGTTAACCGAGCAATCTTTCTATTCCTTAGGCACAGTATTGACATTGTGTATAGTTCTGATGTTCCCATTCTCTACTCACTCTCAAACACTGCTGTATAAACCCTTTGCTTTGCCATCCAGCCCCTCCTTATGCCCCACCCCGCAGTGCTTACTCTCTAGAGTTCTCTAACTGTGGCTACACTCAGGTAGAGCATAAGGAACGTTTGCATGGGTGAAGAATAACTTTTCAGTAGTTGCTTTCCTTGGACTAAGAACATTAAATGTCAGAATTAAGAGAAAATCCTCATTCTTCAGTTACAGTTAGTTTTGTAATTGTATGAGAAAAATCTACTTCAGTTGCAAAACAAGAAGTCTTTTAAAAGAAGGATCTCATTGATCACATATAACATTTTTTTAGTGACCAGGTGTTCAGATTAAAAGCACTGAAAATGAGTTAGGAGTGAATAACTAACATGCTATTATATAATATATATACTTTCTTCAGGAAATTGATCTTATTATAATACTGTTAGCTCAGCTGTAGTTCTTATTTCTATTTCTCCAGACTCTTACTTACTTTCTATTGTGGAAGGAAAATATTTCTATGAAGTTATATCTTAAGTATGAAATAGAGAAACCATCACCCTGATCATCATATGGAAACATTCCATCAAGCACCAAGAATTTCCCTCAAGTTACATCTTCACTTCCACATCCTTCCCCCAAAGCTTTCGCTATGGGAAGTGGCTCTGTGGCTATTGCTGGGGGAGGTCAGGAATCCCATGGTAGCTGCCATAGGACTGAGGTGCGCCCATTATCTTTCTGGGCAATGGGCACTGAACTCAGGTTGAACACAGACCTGATGAACAAGGTGCCCTCTGTTTCCTGACATAGGACAGGAGTGGAGGACAGGTTTCTGCCCATGAGCTGTACTGGAAGGACATGTTTCTCACTGACTCCTTTCTGCACCATCTCCACTGGTACTCACTCCCAGAAAAGGCAGATTTATATTCCACTGAGCCCCATGTCCCCAACTTTGGAGATTGTTTTTGTTGTTGGCATATTGTTGCTTTGCGAGCATTGCTAGAGTTCGAATTTGGACAAAGAGAAGATAAAAGTTGACATCACTGTCATATTATTTCTGAAGCCCTGATAAACTGCCCCCTCTAGCCAAAAAAAACAAAAACAAAACCACTTTCTTTGTCCTACCTTTTTGTCTTTTGTTACGACTTCAGTATTTGGGCATAACTTATTATAATTAGTGGCAGAAGTAAAATGGATTACATTTACTCCATCTTATCTGGAACTAGAAGTCCCTGCCTTTAGAACTGACTTAATCATTTTGTTGTGTTTTGTCATGTTCTTCAATCAAATTTGAAAGCATATAACCTAATTAGAAGATTTGAATCTGTCTACAGAACATCCAGAATCTGGTTAAACATGAAGCATCAATATGCAAGCCATACAATAAGCCTATAATTTTATAAAGTACCATTGCGTGCTATTGGCAAAGACAAATGTTAAATTGTGTGGCTAGTCCCCAAACAGTATATTTTAAGTTTTAAACATCTGCAGCAGTGTCTTAACTCTTTACTATCCTCTACTTCTCTCTTGAATATTGCAAATAAATGCAAAGTTGTAGAATCAAACTTAAAAGCGAGAAATGCAAGTGAATTTTTCATGTATTAATTATGTCATTCACAAACTACAATAAAATACTTAAAACATTAATTTAATATGGATCTAAAAAAATAAAGGATTCCCATAGTACAGAACATGGCCCAGATTTTACCTGCTGAGGTCATCCATGGTGGAGCGGGTTACAGACCCATTGGCTAAGTTGAACTGACTGGAGCAAAGACTTCCTGCCTAAAGAGTTATGACACCATGCCAATTTGTTTGCTGCAGCCTTCTTAGCAGCAAAAGGTGCACACATAAGTCAGAGAGAATGTAGGATAGAAAACCTGCCTGGGTAACATGTCTTGCACTTAAAGTTACACTGTGCAAGACAGAGAATCACCTTAATAAAGGATGTTTGGTTGTCTTACCTTTCTTTTGGTACCACTGCCTTAAGTTCTTGTCAGTTAAACACTAAGTAGATAGACAAATGACAAAGGAAAGATAGACTGATAGGTAGGTAGATAGGTAGGTAGGTAGGTAGGTAGGTAAGTAGATAGACAGACAGACAGACAAATAGATATAGATATACAGATAGAAGTCTATTTCTCTGAGAATGGCCATATTTATGTTCCTTGAGATCTTTAAGGAATTTTAGCGTATAAAAGTTATAAAATGTGTTTTGTTGTGATATTACTATATATACATATAATACACTTTAAATTCACCCTATTAATCTCCTGTCCGCCTTCCTATGATAGCCCCTCATTGTTTTGTTTTGTTAGTCTCATTATATTAAAATAGACATCTAATTTAGGATGAATACAATGACTATTGACAGAGAGAGCATCCATATAACACAAGTCACCGTATGTGCAAACACATTTTTGAAAGCTTCCGGGTCATTAGGAAAATCCACCTTTTTAAGCATGTATCTGTGTAGATTACTTCTGTGCTCGGAGCTCTTCAGTGCCCTGCCCATCCATCAGCATTCCGAGCCTTCAGCCTCTGGCCGCGGGCACTCTCTTCATCCTTCCCACCTTCAGCGCATACTTCTGCAGTTGTTTCTTACGTGCTGTGCAAACCACGTCCTAATGGGATTCACTCATTCCCACCTCCTCCTGTTTCATGACCTTTCACAACAGATTCTCCCCTTCTTGCTCCCTGCCAGCTCCCTTTCCTTTCTGTCAGAACTATCTAATCTTACTGAAAATTCTGTACATGATTCATTTTGAGGCTCCTGGTCATCCTTCGTGCTTCCTGATTTCTGAAATCAATCCACTCACCCTCTCTGTATTTTTGCTGCTGTTGTTAACTTCCTTGTGGCCTTACTATGTCATGGCAATGCTGCGCTAGGTTTTTATTGCCTGATATTCTCATAGTAGGCTGTGTTCTCCTTGAGTAAGAAATTTTGGTCTTGAGATCTGGATCTTACTGAGTGCTCTACAGAATATTTTGTGTGTTGTATTTGATAGGTGGAGTTCAGCTGGAATTCATGTATAAATTTAGATCGAGTCTCTCACTTCAAAGTCCGGGCAACTGCAGTAGAGAAAATTTCACACGTAGTCCTACTCCAGCACATGGGTTTTCATCCTGGCTGACATATCAGAATCACCTGTGGAGCTTTAAAGCATTGTATCTATGACACAGCACCATAGGCAAATTAAGGCAAAGTCTGATGTTTAAGGGAGGTTGCAAACTTCCAATCTCTCTGTAAACCAACACAGCTGTGGGAAGATAAGAATCACATAGGAACAGCTAAACAGATGCGCCAAATTGATATATATTAGGAAGAAGGTAAACCTATGAAAACAAGTATTTGTTTACAGAATTTCAAACCCGAGAGACAGTTCCAGAATGGAAAGAAATATGAGAGTAAAGCCCTAAGGATTTTTTTTGGTAAGTCCTGGGTCTTGAACTCAGGGGCTGGGCACTGACCCTGAGGTGCTTTGTGCTCAAGGTTAGTGCTCTACTACTTCAAGCCACGGCACCACTTCCAGATTTCTGTTGGTTATTTGGAGATAAGAGTCTCACAAGGACTTTCTTGTCCAGGGTGGCTTTGAAAGGAGATCCTAGATCTCAGCCTCCTAAGTAGCTAGGATTATAGGCGTGAACCACTGTGCCTGGCCAGCTCTAAGGATTTTGATCTGAGATACCTTGGCCTCAATTAGGTAAACAGTACAATCAAACAATTTCTAGAGGTTTTCTTGCTGCAAACTTGAATTTTTCTGGGAGAACTAAGAACCTAGTTACACATTCATCTATTTAAAAACCAAAAACAGGGTGTTCAATTTAACATCAAACTTCTACTTTTGAAAGGTGTCAGGAATTTACTAAGTACCATCTGAAGTGTGAGTACCTATCCCCCAAAAGATGAATGCATTCTTTGCCTCCAGCATTGGTTAAAAGAAAGGCCAAGTTACCACCTTAACCTATATTTGTGAACTTTTCTGATTTCACCAGGAAGATCAGATTCAGGCAAAACTTTCACTAAATGGCCTAAAACCATAATGCTTTCATTATACATGCTTTCAAGATACATGACCTCATTTAAAATCACAAGCTTAGATAAAGAATTTTAAAAGACCAATGATAGAAATTACCCCTAAATATTTTAATTCCTTACCATCTGCCAGTTATTATTTGGAATAAAAGCAGAACTAGTACTCTTTCACAAATGATCATCGTGCCAAATGTCTTCCTGGGTGAGAACCCTAGTTACCTACCGACCGCCTCACATTCCACTCCAGACGTCCACAGACAGTATTAGCCGCCGAAGAGGAAAACAAAGAAGTCTTAAGGGAAACACACGAATTCTGCTGATAGAAATGTGGCAGTTTATACTTGAGCCTCTAAAAGTTGAAGTCTGCATGAAAATTTGGAGAATGTCTGACTTCTTCCTCCTTCTCTGTTTTAAACAAGAGATTCATATATACATATATGCATAT